TGGTTGCAGTTACAGAGCGCCGCTGCACCGGCGCGGTCAAGCCGAAAGGCTTCAGAGAGAACCGCGGGCAGGTCTTTGGCCGTGCCATCTCTCGCGAATTTCATGACGCTGAATCGACCAGCCGCTGCGGAGGCATGGCGCAGAACGGCCGAGGGGTTTACGCTATGCCGACGAATCCCCGGGCAGACAGACCAGGGCAACGATGGGCCTCGCGCGGTGCCCTCCAATGGGCGAAAATCTTTAAATTCCGTTATATAAATTCACATTCCTGGCGCAATTCACCCAACGAGCGAAAGCGCGCGGAAACGATGATAATCGAAGGCAGTGCTGACGCGCGCTGCAGTCCTCGTCGCGGGACGCCCTGCGACGGTCACACTGGCGAGCAAGAAGAGAACCCGGCCGGCACAGCGAGCTACAAGTAGCAAGCCGCGCGAGCCAAGCTCTCAAACCCCACAGAGCCACGCCCCGGACGTGAAGGTGGGCCAAGCCGTGGAACACGACATGGCCCACCGAACATCTTCCCCAAATGTGACTCAACGGGGCGGCCTGGCTCTGTCGGTGCAGAGATCCAGGCGCGCGGGGCTGTGTTGTAGCTAGGTAGCGAGCACGTGGGAAACGCGCCGGGGTAGGGCACCTCCGTGGAGCCCGGAACCCGGGCGACGCAGCGGGGTCTTGCTCCCAATCGTGACTAAGTTCCGGGAAGTTCCCGCGGGTATGTGATCTAGCGGACGCAGCACATCGCGCTGCGACCTGTCTGAGACGCCAGGATTGGCGCTCCAAATGTAAAAAGGCAAATCAAGCGTCCCCAGGTACGCTGGATGAATCGAACGACTCTGGCTCGTGGAGCAGCAGAGAAATCCGAAACAGGAGAAGGACCTGCTAAAACTGCGCCACAGCTCCTCGCCCCCACACCAACCACTGAACCCCTCGACTGCGCTAATCACCTGCAGGCAATCAACGCCGGCGGACCGACGTCGAGGGGCGAAGGACGGAGCAACGACGCCGATAGGCTAACGCGCTCAGCTCTCCTTCCAAGTCAGCACCCCTGATACCAAAGCACAAGCGACTCAGAGACATCCACATCGTGGACAAAACCAAGCGCCGGCGCAATGGCTACGACAAGGTATTTGCAAACCCCGAAGAGATGCAGCAACAATGTCGTGGACGCCCAACCCCGACCCAGCACCCGCAGGCGACATCATCGACGTCGCATGTGGTGCACACCAACGAATACTTGCAGCCTAGCCATGCGACTCAACAACATAACCGCCGCGCCTGCGGGGCTGTGCCTGTGGAGTTGCGCGTCCAGGTGCTGGGAGGTGTGGTGGGGAGAACGAAGCCACGGTGTGCCGTGATGTGTGGAGTTGCGCAAATGTTGTGCAGTTCCTGTCCTCGTGTAGTCAAGTGGTCCAAGTTCCCAAGATGATCTTACGCATGTAACCGATTTTAAAAATTTCGCGCCCCGGGTTCGCGCAAATGTGACAAAGCGCGTAGGCAGGTTCTAGCGCTGCTTTCCTCGCGCCTTGACATAGTGCGCCGAAGCGGATGCGTCCGTCGCAATGGTACAAGTGCGACGCCCGGCCACTTTCTGTTGGCCACAGGTGCGCACGCAAATGCACAGGGGCCGGGCCCCCAGCAGCCCCACACAGTGCCACACCCGCGCCAGAAGCTCAGAAAACTTCTCGCGCAGCCGCAGCCAATCGGAACAACACTGGGCGCTCTCGGTCATGGTGCCCCCGAAGCCCGAAGTCGTGACCCAGCTTCGAACCCGCGCTCACTCAGAGCGCGGGCACAGATAAATAAGCTTGCAGGATCGGGGGCTCCCGATCTTACGAGCAAAAGCCCCCAACCTCGTCCCGGCAACATAGCGAGATCCACGAAAGCGGCCTCCCGATCTCGCTGATCTCGTGCCGATCTCATCTCCGGCCGATCTCGCGGCGATCCCCGGCCGATCTCGCACCCCCTCCCGCCGATCTCGCTGCGATATAACTCACGGCCGAGATTGATCTTACTGGCCAGCGCCCGCAGGTCGAAAATTCCTTCCCATTTTCGCTGTAGAATGAATTTCCGCCCGCGAGATCAACGAGATCGGGCACGAGATCAACGAGATCGCGGGGGAGATCAGGCGGGAGATCATGAATTTCCGCCAGCGAGATCAGCGAGATTGGGCACGAAATAAACGAGATCGCGGGGGAGATCAGGCGGAGATCATGCGATATCGATCGCTTTGATATCGACCGTTCTCGCGTCGTCCCAATGCGAGATCGTAGCAGGGCCCGCGGGGGGGCGCCGGCTTTCCCAGCCGTCGAGGCCGCCGGCGTTCACGACCGATATCGCCAATCCCGGGCTGCTACTTCTACGACGTCGCGCGGCGGCCGCTTCGAAAATTTTACGCAGCGCCCCTGGTTGCAGTTACAGAGCGCCGCTGCACCGGCGCGGTCAAGCCGAAAGGCTTCAGAGAGAACCGCGGGCAGGTCTTTGGCCGTGCCATCTCTCGCGAATTTCATGACGCTGAATCGACCAGCCGCTGCAGAGGCATGGCGCATTACGCACCACGGTGTGCCGTGATGTGTGGAGTTGCGCAAATGTTGTGCAGTTCCTGTCCTCGTGTAGCGCACCGTCCTGCGTAAAGTCACGCAGCAGGGTGCAGTGAAGTGCGAAAAGCACGGTGCGTGATACCATGCAGAATAAAGTTAATATGCACCCTGCTATAGTACGTGGTTTAATAATAATAACCCATGGCTTTTGATTAAGAATCGGAATCGGAGCGACCTGACAATGACAAATCACGATGATCATACACAAAGCACGTCAAAAATACCTTCCCAGCTCAAGCTTCGCAAATTATTCCCCGGCAGCCGCAGTGTCCGTAAGTGCTCCCCCTGGTTCGCGGAGTAAAATTGCACGACCCCAACCTCGTTGTTGCCCTGCATCCCTGCGAGTGCCACCACCGTCCCACTCGGGTTCCACCTCGCTCCGGTGCACCGCATTTGCGTATCGATCAGCACAGGTCTATCGTCCGCTTCGTGGCGCAGAATCTGCACCCGGCCGTTTTCGTATGCGCAGCAAAGCGTCGGCTGGGTGGACGGAACGCTAGCCCGCGTATCCACAGAAAAAAACCCATCCACATCCATTTTTTGCATGACATACACATGACTTGATACGTGTTTTGCATGACAAATTGGAAGATGTGGATGGATTTTTTTCTGTGGATACTGCGCTGCGGCGGATGACACCGCGGTGGTGGTGCCGTTGGCGCCGTTGTTGCTGTAAGAGTAGGAACTGTACCAGTGAAGGCCGGCAAGCGGGATTTGCCCCTCCGTCCCCTGGTCCAGGCAGTAGCAGGGAAGTTTCAGGACGTACACCCCCTCGGGGTCGTAGAGGTGGATCTCGCCGTTCGGGGTGCCGAAGAGAATATTTCGCCCGTCCGGGGCCCACTCGACCATCGCGAGTTGGCTCTGTTGAGGTTTTTTCTCGCATTTGCTGGAAATTCTTTTTATGAAGCTTCAGCATCATATTTTCAACTACCACAAAAAAAATAAAATTTTCATTTCCGAAGTGAATGGACATACTATACCAGGCAACATCAATACCTTCAGCTCCTTCCCCCACAGCCTCTGGCCGTCCACCGTCCCCACAATCACCGCCCCATCCTCGTAGATGATGCAGATTTTCTGCCCGTCGCTTGTCCACTTCATATCTTTCACCGTGGACCGGTTGCGGTTGTTGATCATCTCCTCGAACCATATTCCCCGGTGCAGCATCCACACGATGATGAGCCCGTTTTGATCGGAGGTAGTGAGTTTCCGGAAGTTCTCGTTCCAGGTGCAATTGATAATCGTGCCCTGATGCCCTTCCAGAGTTTGATTCATCGACAGATTGCTGGAAGAGGAAGAGGAATTTGCTGATGGAGTTTCCAGCTTGATGACCTGAGGATATTTTTTGATCATGTATTCGCACTTGGACTTGTTCTAGAATTAGATGCTCTAGATCCTCAACAGACTATGATTCGTTGACTTTCTTCAGACTGTTGATGCTCCTTTACCAACAAGTCTTACACTTACCTTCAGCAGGCCCCTCTCGCCGCCGCACGCTATCCATCCTTGCGACAGGTTCCACGCGATGACCTGAAGATTCAGGTTGTGCGGGATCGCGATTTTCTTTGACAGGTAGACAAACATCTTCGTCCAAAGTAGTTCCGCGTCCGTTTATCTTCGATGGCGTTGGAGACTGTGCCTAGCCAACACACTGCACCCGCGGACTGAAGTTTCGCTGCCCGGGATCAAAAGCACGTCTCGTTCAAAAACCTCCCTCGCACGCCGTCTATACGCCTCGCTAATTCTAAAAATTCGCCGCAAAGCTGGTGTCCGGACGGTTCCCCAGCATCCAAAAGAACTGGGGCTTGCACATCATACTTAGTGCATCTTCAAGCGGCGGCACCTGACATCGTCGTTTGCTACAGCAGCAATTGCTGGAGTACGAGTGTGTGGTCGCATCTATACAAATACTGACTGATTCCACTGTAGCATGACGTCTCTCCTCTCGCTCGAAGTTGGTGCCGTCTCGCGCGGAAATCGCGGCAGACGACGCTGCCTTTCACCAGCAAGCACACTGAACAGAAAGCCACGACGCTAGGGAGAATGAAAAGATCGGCCTCGTCGGCACGCGTCCTCGCCCAACTTCATGACCATACTCAGGAAACACACGCGCGCGAGCAGCCCGAAGCAAGACCACAAGAACGCGAAAAATGGCCGCCGTTCTCATGTAGTTCGGCTGCACGTAGAAAACAGCCCGCGCGCCTACACACAATGGGGGGCGAGCGCGAATCACGGATGGAAGCAAAGATCCAGGCGGGGCGGCCTGCGCACCCGAGAACAACACACGCGCCACCAAGGAGCGAGGCGCGACCGAGGGGCCTTCCTACGGGCCCGCGAGTGGGGGGCTCTCGCTCAGAGGGAGCAACCTGCCGGGCGGCCATCGGGCAGGGCGGCGCCCGTCCGTGGTTCGGGCGCCGGCCTCTTGCCAAGACGTCGAGCCGATGCTGGCGCGGGCGCCGCGCCGTTTCGGTGGGGCGCCCGCGGTTCGTTGGCGGGTGCTGGAAAAGGCGACAGAGGCGCCCCCCCATCGGCCCCCCCGCACTCGGGCACGGCCGACCACGAAAAACGCGGGCGCCCCGGACCCGGGGCCCGCGGCGCGCTGGCATGGATGCCCGGCCGCCTTCTCGGTGATGTTGCCACCACTTTCCATCTCGCTTCGCCGTTATTCTTGATAAGCAGGCGGGCGAGCCGCTGACCGGGACGCGCTCCCGCATTGTCTGCGTACCCCTTCCGGTTAAAGGTGGCGCCGCTCCATGCGCCGCGTGCTGCATACACCAGCGCAAAGAAGCCGGAAAGCCCGCGACCCTGGTCGGTAGGTGGGGTCGCTACACGGTGCCGCGCGAAGGAACACGAGCGACGCAGAAAGACCAAGAGCAACCGCATGGATTTAGCTTCTGCGTTTGTTCTTGTGCTAAATGATAAGTACTACACCACGGTAAAAAATAAGAATAACAGACTCAACCCATATCACGTGCTTATATCACCCAAAGATCTCAACCTCAAGTGTCCACATCACTCAAGCACAGAAACAGACACTCTCCCTCTGCACCGTGCCAGAACTCTCTGCCAATGAACAGCGCTGCCGCTGCCACGCTCCGTGGCGAACACCGGAAACAAATATACAAGGCCAAGGGCGCCTCCACCTCTACGGAATAAAACAGGAGCAATCATTGAAGACTGCAGGAGTTGTAGTAGTTCTTACCATCGGCTCCAGTAATTTGATTTCAGCTGCAAGATCAAGATGAGCATGCACTTGACCTTCTTGTGGGCACTGCTTGAGCGTGTTCTTGTTTGACGGTGCTACAGCAAGAGTACGAAGCCAAGTCATTGACGAAACTAAGTAAATCAAAAACTCTCAATAAAAAACTGCATCTGAAAGCAGATAAATCAAGATCAACCCTGTGATCTCATCACTTGGGGCACCACTTGCAAATGTTGACATTCCCCACCCTGTCCCCCCTTTCCGTGGAAGTGCTGATCCGTGTTTGTCCGGTAGCGGTGACACCGACTTCGACAGATGCCCCGCCCGTTTCATCCGCAGCCGTTCCTTGTTGCAGACGCAACATCTGGTCCACACAAAACGGCATGAAGCCGAGGATGTCCTCCGCGTCGTGCGACGTGGTTGCACTTCTTGCAACCCCCGTTGATGAAGGAGAATCCGGTCGTTGCTCCCCTTGCGGTCCTCCGTCATGCCCAGACGTAACTGCTTCTTGGTCTTGCCCCGTCAGTGCCGTGTGGTCACCAGCACTTTCGAACAGACACGGACACTCATTCCCGTCCACGTACGTGTCCTTGTTGACGTCGAACCCAACAAAAGCGGTGACACACCCGGACTCGTAGGCCACCGTCGCGGCGTCTACGTCGCCGTCGCTTCGGTCCACGATGGTCTGCATCGCCTCGATCTCCGCGTCGCTGAGGCCATCTTCCCGCAAACCTGGAGTAGGATTTTTTAGACGGCTTCACCAATAATTCTACTCTTGTACGAACATTCGAAGAGGCTCGCAACCAAAGTTCGTTGTACGGGTCGGCAAAAGCAAGCAAATAATGTAAATTATACCAATATTCTTCAGATCATATTTTCTTGGAGAATCGTCGCCGGGATCGTCATCTCTGGAACTGGGTGCGCCGCTGCTGGTGCTCGTTGTAGCAGCACCAGCATTCGCCTCTGTGGGTTCAGGAACTGCTGCTGCCGGCGCTGCATCTGCCTCCGCGAAGCCTTGATGTCCGCGCAGATGTTGTTCCGCGTGTGCGATCAAAGGAGCAAAAAACGCGACCAGACCAATAATGCCACAGCTGGGTCTTCCACCGAGCTTCATCGCAACTACGGACTCCATGGTCTTCGTTTAGAAGCTTCTTGTTTTTTAATGTCTCCCATGATCAGCATCAGGCGCACCCTTGCTGGTCCTGGTCGACATTTTCTATCGCATAAGGTTTGGTTTTGAAACTGAATTGATGTCACATGATTTTGATTCTTGCCTTCGCTTGTTAGTACGGTTCACGAAAATCGAAACAAATTTCGCACACGAGATTTCGCCTGCGGCTGCGCTATCGCAACGAAGAAGAAGTCGACCTAAATGCTCACACAGTGTCTGCCTCTCGCAACACTCCGTCCCTCGTGTCTAGCAGGTGAAAGCACTCCTCGCACTTACTCTTTTCATCTGAGTGTTCGTGTTGAAAAGATTAAATGCACTACGACAGACACACTTCGACGATCAAAAGAAAGCGCGCCGAACAAGGCCTGGGGCGAGGCGCATTCTTTTTGCATGCGCTCATCGCCATCGGCCGAACCACCCACGCGAGGTCATCACAATACTGCCAAGCGGTTAGAAGACATGGAATCATAACCAAAAGGAGTCCTCCGCTCGTGGTAAATAGACCACACTCACACACACAAGGTGTGCCGCCACACCGAGTCGATGTGTAATCTGAGCGCGCGCGACTGACACCTAAGTACGTTCCTCAAGCAGCTGCGGCCACAGCAAGTTTTGGCAAAACAATAACACCAAACTGAGGAGCGCGCGCCAGATGTCAAATGCATGAGCAGGGGAGGGGCGTGCAACACAAGGAGCCCGCCGGCCCCAGGGCGGGCGGCGCCGCCGGCCCGCCAAAGTCAACAAGGCGAAACAAGCAACACCGGCTGGGCGGCCCTGCCAGACGAGAGAGGCCCGCCGGCCCCCCCGGCGCCGAGGGACGGCCCGGGGCCGCAACTTGAGGGAGGGCGCCCGCGCGCCGCCGGTCCGTCCGAACGTGCGGCCGGCCGGCGGGCAGGCCGGACACACGGCCGAGCTAACCTCTGCGCCCAAACCGCGCACACCACGGCCGCGGGGAAATGGAAGAGCGCGGAGAGCTAGCAGCCCACGCCGCCCGGGGTCCGTCGGCTGGAGGGTCTATCTATGGCCGCGGAGAGAAATTAAGGGCGAGCTCGCCAGCTCCGACCTCTTCTGCGCCGTTCCGGTGCCGGAGTGGGCTTGGTAGTAGTTTTGTGCTACGGAACCGGGCTCCTTGGTGGACTCGGCTTAGTCGGCTCCCCAGGGTCGCCCGCCTGGTCGTTTCTTGCCTTTCTTCTCTTGCTTCGTCAGGGTCCCTCATGGCGTGGCTGGCCCGCCGTGCCCCCCTGGCCGCTAGCGACATCGCGCGCCGAATTACACACGGAGCGCCGAGGCGGTCGCGGTTGATGCGGCTGCCGAGGCGCGCGAAATGCACAGGGCCGCCCGTTCTCGTTGAAGCTAACGATTATATGCGTGCGCATCTGCTGGCCATCTTCCACAGGCGGCAGCGTGCCGCGAGCTGAAGCGGTGACGCCGAAAGCTACACCAGTCCAGCACGATCCACCTCGCGCAACGTCCGTCGTGCTGTCTCATCACATCCGCTTCCTGAGCTCTCACCTGTCGCACTCAGCTCATGCTGAATCATCTTCCCAGACCCCACTCCCTGACGCTCGTGACAAGAAAACACACATCCAAGAAAGATCAGTTTACGGGTAGCGTTTGTTACTGGAACGAACAGGGCAGGAACCAGGCTCGAAAAGACCGCGTCACAGCGGACAAGAACGACAAGGGTTTTGGTCTGATCAAGATTGTCTAATTATGTACATTCTCATTCCCACATGTTGACCGCGATTTGATTTGCGTATTGAAAAAACAAATACGAAACAAAACTACTTTGTCGTTGTCCATTTTTGTCCTTCCCCATTTTTCAGGTATATATCAATGACAATGGTTTGGGTTTGGCAACAGTTGCTAACCACAACAAAGAGTAGGAATTTCGTCGTGATTACTGTTCGCTGGAATCTTTAAACTAATCAACCACGTGATGGTATTGCTTTCACTGCACTAAACAGCAGTCATCTCTGCTGCAACTAGACGAACTATTAATAGGTGAAGTAACTAAATGACCCGTCTCCTTACAGGAGAGAAAAAAATAAACGTCCCTCCAGACGGGCACCGTGAAAAAAAAGGCTGTTGTGGTGGTGCGCCCTGTGCTTATGCTATGACTTTGCGTATAGTTGTGCTGTTCTTTCTGGCTATTTTACACTGAACCTGGAGTGGTAGAAGAGGAGACATAATCATTAGAAACTTTCTCGCATTTTTTCACATTGGTCGATGCGTTGCGATAACGGCTTGAAAAAATCATACATGAGTAATAGGTCTTTTATTTACACGGCGAAAGGAAAGAGTGTAATTTCATCGTGGATTTCGTAAAGCCCAAGTCGCAAGTAACTAGTGTTACGATCATGATGCTGACACTGGATTTACCTGCGTTTTGTGAAATATTTTAGTACACGCGTAGACAACATGAAGCCCAGAGTATCAGTAAAATTGTTTCCCACTAAGAATCGACGTAACGAAAGACGTCTGGGGTGGTGTTATTCATTGATCCTGTCGTTCTTGCGTGGTCACTTCCGCTTTCTGTTTTTTTCTCTTTCGCCGAATCAATGTGACTACGCTGACAAAAAAGTCGTGTAAGGTATTTTTCTTAAGGTTGGAAACCGTAACCGTATTGGAATTTCGACAACAACTCTAATTACATGCGTTCTTTTTCTAAGAACCAAATAGATAAACGTGACTACGATACAACAGCGACGATGAGCCTCGCCCTTTGCTGTCCAGAAGTTAAGTATCGAAACTACCCATCGGCTGTCCACCTCGTCTAAAACTTCACTGCGTCTAACGCCGTCTTCCCAAACCCCACCTTCTCGCTAAAGCCACTGCCGAACGAATTGTGCGACAGCTCCGGCGAAATCAAGATCGCCTGGTCCGCTTCTTTCTGCAGCTTGAGCATGTACTGATGGAAGGCGTAGGGCGTGTTGTTCGCTAGTCCCGTGTTGTACACGTACGAACTCGCGATGTACGCCGCACACATCGCTTTCAAATACGCCTGCGGACACCTTTGGACCATCTGATCCAGCCCAATCTTTTCCAGCAACAGTTTCGGAATCGCCTTGGTTAACACGTAGTTCACCAGCGCAATATCCGTGGAGTTCGGGTCGTCTAAATCCAAGTTCAGCATCAAGGAATCATGAATCCCGGTGATCGCGGTGGAGAGTTCCGCGGTCAGTTTCGTCCGGGAATTCGCCTCGGTGAAGGGGAGATGTTGCTGCTGGTACTGGTTGGCGAAAGAGGTCAACGCGCTGTTGCTTGTCGGGGAGGTAAGCGGGATCAAATAGTTGTTCACCTGAGATGAAGCCGGCAGACCTGAAACGGCTGTCGGTGATTTATTGTACGTCGTCCCGGACCCGCCGGTGCTGCCCCAGGTCTTCATGTTCACGGCGTTGTGGAGATTTGCCGCGGTCGCGCCCTCGGAATCGGAGTTGGATTTCGAGTTATTACCTCCGGTAGTTACGATTTTCGTGTGGTTCCAGATGCAGTAGAACTCCTTTTTGCAGTTGTCCTTGATCCGGGAGATGATTTCCTGCACATACTTCGTGTACATCACCGGCGGCGGTTCCAGCGGTTTCACTGTCATGTGCGTGTCGTGGGTTTGCGGGTCCATGGCGAGCGCCGCGAAAACTTCCAGACTGCTGCTCGTCACCCCTCCCTTGTTCGCTATCGCAAGAAAAAACTGCTTCACTGTAAACTTGTGATGCATAGAACGGAGCGCAAGTGTGTTTGTCTTGCTACACATGCAAGACATTGGATTTTTAGCTGTGTTTTCCCTTAGGAAGCACGCATGCCAGGTTTTCTCTGTCATGTGTAACAAACTTGTGATGCAGATCTTGCAAAATCATCACAGTGAAACAGTTTTTTCGTGGGATATTCGCACTCGCATCTTTGAACAGAATCACCCCGTGCTTCTCCAGCCACAGCCGCGCCGGGTCCGTGAAGAACAAGTTCGCCCCCTCGACGACGAACTTCCACTGCATCGCGCCGTCGGTTTCCCGCTTCAACTGCTTCACGTTCGACATGGAGATCGTCGCCGGGCGGCCCCCGCAGGGGACAAACAGATCCGCGTGGGCGAAGGTCGTTAAAGGGATATCAACTGTAAAAATGTCTGGGTCTGGAAGAGTGCATGTTTGTCATGCTTGTCTGGCATGACTCTCACATCTGGCACGCACGTTACCCAAGAGCGCCACTTTTCTGTCATGCAGAAACGCAGTTTGTAATGCAGAATAGGCAACACCTAGAAGCTCAGAAACTTATCATGCTGAGCCAGCATTTGTGGCCTCCTCACGATACGCCACCCAACAAACATCACAAGTTTCCAGACCCAGACATTTTTGCATTTGATAAGGGAAAGCGTTCCGCAAATCGGCCCCGTTTCTGTACGTGCTGCCGTCGGGCAGGGTGATATTGCTGTCGTCGACGGAGTACACGAAACCGGAATACTGGTTGGAGACGTTCCGCTCCACAGAAACAACCGAAGCCGACCCGTCCGGGGTATTCGCGGAATTATTGCTCGTCCCAGCTGCACCTCCAGCGTTGTTCGACGACAGTAACTGCTTGTTGAAGTTCGCGATCGGTTTCCTCAGCTTCGCCAACCGGACGAGTTCCGTGCGGTCCAACCCATTTGGGTCGTAGGCGACGCCGGAACCGTATCCACAGAAAAAAACCCATCCACATCCATTTTTTGCACGACAAACACTGGACTTCATGTATGTTTTGCATGACAAATTGGATGGGGATGGGTTTTTTTATGTGGATAAACCGTCCACGATCGCGACGGTCTTGTCCTTACTGATCAGAATCTCGTTGCTGCCCAAATCCCCGTCCGGGCCGCCGGTCTGGAATTTCGTGATCGACGACTCCTCGATGTTCAACTCTTTCAGCAGACACAGCACGTACTCGTGCACGCCCGTGGTCGTGATCCCGTACAAGTCGTGTGGGACGCCGCCCAGCTCCTGCGGTTTCCCGGTCGTCAGCGCCATCGCGAAGGGGTAGCGCCTTTCCTTCGCACGTAAGGCGCCCAGCTTCATGAAGTCAGCCGTGTTCTCATCGGGGCCGAAAAATAGCGTTTCTGGCTGGTTGTTCGGGAGATGGGAAAAAATGCCGGAAAAGTTTTTGCTTTTTGAGGAAGAGGGCGTCAGGGGGGTTCTGGTTTTGTTTTGTTTGTTGTTACTCACTGATGTTGTACTAGCCGGACTAGCGCCACTGTTTAAGTTCGAAGTCTGCTCCATGGTCCCCTGCATGATGTCCAACAAAGCGTCCACGTACTTCAAAAAAGCGTCCTTCGCGGAGTCCTGATTGATGGAGTCCAGCAGAATGGTCCCCTTGGATCCCCCCTCCGGGATGTCCTTGTTCTTCCTTTGCTGGGTGTAGGCGAGATTGTAGGTCTCGTCGAACAAGCTCGCCGCGTTCCTCGTGTACGCCTCCTTCGACGGCGATTTCACGCATCTGATCCCCCCTCTCGCGATCTCCCGGAACCGCACGTGCCAACCAAAGAAGGTGCGGCCAACAATCATGTAAATGCCGTAGGGCACTTCGGGGTACAGATCCGGGCCCCGGTTAGAAACCAAAAAGCTTGGATCAAACCGAAACGCCATCGCGCCGGGAATGCCGTTCTTCTTGAAGAAGTTCGTCACCCGTAAAGCTTCGTTGAACAGACAAAAGGTTCGCATCACCAGCCGCTCGTCCTCGGGGAGCATGCCGCAGTGGTTCTCGAAGAGCTCCTCGTTGAAGAAGGGCTTGCGTTTGCCGGTGGCGATTTTTTCGAAATCGTCGAAAAGAGCGGCGAGAACCTAAAAGTATTTTTTGATAGAGCTCATGATCACATCGGTGTGCTTGGTAAACTTTTTATGCGTTTGGAATCTTCATGCAAAGTCGTGCACCATACTTTTTTTATCTTTTGGAAAACGAAAAAACGAAAATTCTGTTCGGAAGTAAGTAAGTACCTGCACATGCTTCACTGCACACACGTAAATTCTTTCCGGCGTTAAGATCTCCAACAGTGCCTTCTTGTACAGCTCCTCGAATTTGTTCTGCGACTCCGCGTGAAACGACAGCTGCGACTTGAGCTCCGCAAACTGGGGGTACAGCTGCTCCCGCGGGAAGAACGCGTGCGCGAATTTGACCAGCGCGAGGACGTACGTCATGTTCTCGGGGGATAGATACCCGTTCAGGACGCAGTTCCAAACCAAACCACTCCGATTTGGCGTCATCTTCAAATGCGTGATGTACTTCAAAACGTCTGTCAACCGCCCAATCTGCTCCGCAGTCGCATTAGTATTCGTGAAAAAATACGTGTAGGTGACCACCCCGTTGGCGAAGGACTCGATGTAAAACCTCTTCGGATTCACTTGTAAGAAGTGGAAGCACTGCGCGATCTCGTGGAGGTAGAAATTTCGCGACGATTCGGCCGTCGCAAACTGTATCCTGTGCAAAAGTATCGCACTCGTACTAATTGCAAACATGCATGACAAATCGAAATCTCCCATCTAAGGTAAAACAGCATTACAAATTCGACTTTTCATCTTGCCAAAATTTGTAATGCAATTTATACTAGTACGTTACTTTTGCAGTGCATAAACTGCACCACGTATCCATTCCCATCCAGCGGGTACATCTCCCCCGTGTTGCTCGTCACGACCGCGTTTTTGCTCGCGACGTATGCAAGAAAAAAACTGTGTAAGTAGTGTAACTCTGTAATGCAGAAAATGCAAAACGGTTACGCTTGTCATGCTCCACATGCATGATAGGCTCGTTTGTTCCTACGTGTTTTCCCGTCCTATCTGCGCATGACAAGTTTTTCCTGTCATGGCAGACAAACTTGTGATGCTGTTTTCCCAAAAAACCTACACTAACACAGTTTTTTTCCTGGATACGACGACCTGATCGAGTAACAGCTGGTAGCGGGACAAGGCGTATTCGGATTTTGTTCTCAAAAACCTTGGCGTCGCAACCATCTGCAAATCCGTCTCGTCCTCGGAGACCTGTTTGTCGAAGGAGAATCGGTCGACGATGAAGAGACGGAGAATATTGTCCTTGTTCTTAGAATCTTGGAAAGCTGGGTTGTCGCTGGCCATGTACATGACGGAAAATCCTTGTCTTAATAGCTGCCCGTCCGCGTTGAATTTGTTCTTGTCCTGCTCGATTCTCTTATCCAACGGCCCGTACTTCCCGTAGAGATTTTGCTTCTGGAACCTCTCGTCCTGTTGGTTGATGTGCTCGGAGTTTTTCCTCCTTTCCAGCGTGTCCCGGTCCTTGTAGAGGATGTAGTTTCAATATGCAATACAAGTTCATTCCCGCGCACGACGTACAAAATGCATGTTGAGCACAAGGACAAGATTATTCGTCAATTTGAAAAAGCACGCCACTTGTTGTCATGCTGAATAGGATCACCATCGGAAAGCTTTGTCATGCAGGAACCGCATTTGATGTATTCGTATGCCGGAAAAAATTCACACTGTGGATACACACACCTGGTGGTACACGTTCATCTGGGTTTCCGGTGTTCCCAGCGAGGACAAGTAAAACGCCTTATCCACGTTCTCCAACGCAAAAGATACGTCCTCACTGCCCGCGGCCTTACTCACCTTCTTCGAAGATAGCAAAACGGAGATGTGGTTCGCGATCTGTGCCGCGGTGAAGTGGGCGAAGTACATTTGGTGCAACCCCAAAACGTTGAAGAAGTAGTCCACTTCCTGCGCGACGACGTAGTACGAAAAGTCGGACATTCGGGTGCAGAGTTGGAACACTTTCGCCTTCAACCGCTGCAGATCGCCCATCGCCGGGAGGAACACGGAGATTCCCGGTTGGATAGTCTGCGGGGGGGAAAAGATCGGCATGTTTTTGTCCTTCATTTTATCCGAAAGGAGCTCGACCGACTCCACGTCGTGTAGGTAAGCCCGCTATCCAGGAAAAAACCCCCATCCCCATCCAATTTGTATTTGTCATGCAAAACATGCATAAAAGCCACTATTTGTCATGCAAAAAATGGATGGGGATGGGTGTTCTTTCCTGGATACCCGCACGTCGGGGTGTCTTTCCGCCTCGTGGATGGGCAGCATGCCAAAGCGGTCGGGCTTCGATTTCGCACCATATTCCTCGATCAGAAGTTTCACAACGTCGAGACCTGGAGGTATAGTTGTGGAAAAATAACAAAGATAGACATAGACATGCCAGAAGCACGCAATAAATTATGCGAGCAGTACTTAACTAACACGTCCTCTAGAAACTTCACACCTGGAGGAATCCAGCAGATCCACTCAATGAAACCCATAAATCAACAGGAAAATAATCACGTATATCAAGTACTTCCCGCCGCCGCTGCGTAGTGCAGCGCCGTCCTCTTGTCCAAGGGCGTGCACATGTTCACGTTCGCTCGCTGTTCCAATATGTTCACCACTTTGTTACAATCCCCGGAGTACGCGTAGGTCACCAAGGGGCCCATAAAGTGCAACTGCTCCTGCAGATCGTCCACCGTGCTGTCGTTACTCGACGGAGCCTTGTTGTTCGAGGTCTGCGACACCGTGTTCTGCATCAAGTAGTTACTCGTGCTCTGATCCGCCTGGTCATCCCCGGTAGAATTAGCTCCACCGCCCTGTTGTTGGACCAAGTTCGGACTGTTCCGCCCCCCAGTGTTGATCTCGTTCGCAAGTGCGGTTGGTGACGGGGCTTTCTGGAACAGCGAATGGCCCACGGAGTGCATGGGCGACGACCGACAGCTGACCTCATTCTCGAATGAGGACCGGCGGGACTCCAGGAGGAGGAAGTCCGGGTTGCTCGGAACCTGCTGCTTGTTTTGCATGTTATGATTCTGGTTTCCGCCGGATTCCGATGGCGACTTCTCTCCCTCGCGGTCACTCGGCGGTGCCTGCGCGGCGAGATTGTTCCCGCTGATTGTCACCATAAAAGGCTTGCGGCATAGGGAATCGCCCGAGGGGGTCATCATCTTGGAAAGGTCGTTGTTTAATAGGCAGTGGACTCTCCAGTCAGAACGAGAACGGCGGTGCAGGAAAAGCCGAAATTAGAAGTTGGGAGAGAGGTGGGGATGAAAAATTTATATTTATTCAAAGAAAATTAAAAAAATTACACAGAGTCAGGGGTTGCGTCCAGATTGACGTTGTCGAGGGGGAAAAAATCGGCCTATCAGTAGAAGATTATATTGCCTTTTTGACCCTTTTGATGCGCGTTTGTCATTCACAAGATAAGGATTCTCGCACTGCTACTATCATAAAAATTACTATAGGAGGCGAGTTTTCGTATCTCTGACTGTATCCACTTGTAACTTTTCTTTTCAAGAAATCATTCTATACGAAGTGAGTTTGGAAAGATAAATTTCGAGAAAAATAAATCTAAACAATACGTAGGCGAAGGTACTAGGCCCGAAAGCGGAACGGCCTAGCCCTTTGTCTTTGTGTCCACCTAGGTGAGAAGCAAGTAAAAGAAACCGAAACGCAAGAAAGGTCGTATAGATGGGATACTTCTTAAAAATCGCGTCTGAACAATCGAAGGTGGGGAGGTTGTGATAGATTTGCTACTTAGTTACATCAAATGGGGTACAATGAAGCGGCCTGTGAAATTTTCATTTTGTTCTGACCAAAACAACATACCGAAGGGATTGGGACGACTTTCAAGTTCTTACTCCCACTGCGAATGTGCCCCGTTTTGCTTCAAAAAAAAGACGACCGATTCCTTGACTTTGTTATTATTGCACATGGCCAGAATAGTAAACACTACGTACATGATCTATGAAGATAGAACACAAGTGGGTGCAAAGATAGTACTGCCTCTGCACTTATGCTTAAGTATCACAGCTCCGCTGTCGATGTTGATGCAATTTTTTTCGTTCGCTATTTTACGTTTACGTGGGCAAACAGATTCCAGAAACATCATCAACACAGAACAAATAAAACCGAAACGCTCTCTCACCTGGGAAGCAGGTTTCTACATAGGTTCATTTTTCTAGCACTCCGTCTGCAATTTAATCTTTCAAGAAAACCACAAAAAAAAAGTTCTGCAATCAAATCGAGGATACGTTGGCGCAAGCGCAATAATAAATTGTTGACGACGAAGGGATCATTATTTTTCTGGCGTCTTACTTAGTCATGCTCATGCTGCCGATTAGGAGCATTTTTTGAGAGGGCTATTCGCCGAGAAATTAATGAAGAGCAATCTCCGTAGCTACAGCAGCTAAATCAAAACCTAGGCTGTCGTTCTTCAGAGCAGGCTCTTGCGCCTGTCCAGAATTAGATGTTGCAGTACCTGCGTTTTTTTTCTATTCCACACCGGCGACCCCCGTCTGCTCGGTCTCTGGAATAGGTGCAGGAGGAGCATTCTGGTTGTTCTTCTGCTGTTGACCAACGCCGCCTTCGACCACCGTCCCTGTAACCACAGGAGGAGTTTCCTTCTGACACTCCTTTAAAGTCATTTCCTCGTCCACCAGCAATTGCGGCCCGGACTTGAACTTCGGTGTTATCACCTCGATCCCCGTGTGATCTCCGTAGAACGTCGGCTCTCCACCGGGCGCTAAAACACCCGGATTGTTCAAAAAACCGTGACTATTCCCATTCGTGAACCCCGATTCTAAAGGGAAAACCGGGTAGTTCACCTGCACCGGGCTTTCCTGCTGCAAGAAGTTCTGCTCCGCCAGTTTTCTCCTTAACCGCGATGGCACGTTGATCATTTCCCTCTCCAGCATTTTGAAAATCGGCTTTTTCGTGTACTTCTTCGGATTGAAATCTTTGTAAAGCAATTCCTGCGCCTTCTGCGGGATGAGCAATATCCAAGAAAAAAACACCACCACAATCACATTTAGGAGGTTTTGCATCAGAAATTTGTCTCGCATGACAAATTTTTCTTGTATTGCAAAAACACAAAGGGAAGTCGCCTATAACTCTCGACTGTGATGCATTTTTGCGCATGACAAAAAATTTTGTATTGCAAAAGTGTGCAAAAGTGATTGTGATGGTGTTTTTTTCTTGAATAAGCAAGGTCGAACCTGTACTGCTGCTGTCCTTCATCGCCTGCTTTCTAATTTCCTCTGCGCCGGTATGGATGTGTCAGGATCGAAATCGACAAAATCGAGAAACTTGTGATGCATAAAATGTAGAGCACTGAAGGCCTGTATTGGGGAGCAGGCATATGAGGCCGACTGTGAGCCTGTTTAGGGGTATGCAATGTGCTGCCAGAGTAGCATGACAGGAGCAGTCTTCTTTCCCCAAACAGCATGACAGACTGGATTTTGGTGCTCCCGAAATTTGTCATGCGCCACTTGAAGACTGAGGCTCCAACTGACATCGATTTTGTGCATCACAAATTTTTCGATTTTGTCAATTTCGATTCTGACACTCCCATAGCCAGTTAAGGCCATGCGGCCCTTGATTCCCCCGGCGGGTTCGGTCATGTCCAGGTACAGGCTGTCGCGGGCAAAGTCGTACAGCTTCTTCATTGACAAGTCGAAAAACGGTGAAGAGTTTCCTCCTTTCGCCATCCCGTCCGTGACGATGGACACGTCGTACAATCTTCTCTTCCCGGGTTTCGACGGCCCGCAAAGCGGCTGGAAATCGATGACCCGCTGGTGGGGTAAAATATGATTCGGGTATCCTATGTAAAAACGTACCCACCCCATAGTCAAGATGGGGAATCGGCTAGACAAATCCACAAGCTTTGGCTGTTTCGCATGACAAATTTGGACGCGTAGTGTAGTGCTGTTTGAGCTAGTTCAGCAGCATTACAGATCTAGTCTCTCATGCTGATTGGAGCATGACAAATAAATTTCAAAACACCATTAGAAAATGCTTCTCATGGGGCTCCGCATGAGAAATATTTTAAGCATGCAGATTTGCATGACAACTATGGTGTGGGGACGTTTTTACAAAGGATATCGGGGGTGGAATTCTCATATTCGCGGTTTCCTTGTCCTCCTTCCCCGTAAGCACGTTCATGGCCTTCCCGACCCGGTAGCTCCACTTCCGGCGCAAATCGCCGTTGGAAATATCCACAGAAAAAAACCCATCCACATCCTCCATTTTTTGCATGACAAACATCACAACATGGACATGACTTGATACTTGTTTTGCATGACAAATTGGATGTGGAAGGGTCTTTTTCGGTGGATAGGAGATCGCTGGGTTGTACAGCTCCTGGCTCTTCTCGCTCGGGCTCATCCGAGGGATCAAAGATTTGATCCCGTTGGCCAGCTGCCCCAACGACCGCCGAATCCGACTGTCGTTGATCCCGCTGTTGAACAGGTCTTTGGTTGTGTTCAAATACGGGTACTTGTAGAAATCGGCGTCGTAGAAGTGCGCGGTCGCGCCGACGTTGGGCTGCGCGGTGCTGGATACCCGCCGGGTCGGTTTTCGGTACGTGTAAACTGCGTTCTATATGGCGTTCTCAACTGTTACATTCTCAGCTTTTACATGATTTGTCATGCAAATTAGCCATGAATATCTACACGATCAAGCTGCTCCGGATGACAAGTTCGCGACTTTCTAGATAGCATGAGAATCTACGCCGAACCTGTAATGCAAAAGGCGCAATCTTCCCCCTTTCAATAATTTTGCCACTCTTGCATTCCAAATTCATGTAACAGTTGAGAATGTAACATTTGAGAACTCCATATTCCATTTGATGTCCGTCGGGTCGTCCACGTTCACGACCTGCACGCGCAACCACGTGAACGGCTCCCGCATCTCGATCTCGGGGTGCGAAAACTGCTGATCCCACTTGGTTCTGTTCTTCAAAAAATCCTGGAAATTCGTGTACTTCACCGGCTTGTTTCCGTTCCCCAGATTACTGCAGCTCCATAAAGTCGGGTCGGTGAACAGACTGGAGTGCTTCACCGCGGAGTTGAACTGTCTGTACTTCACCTTCGCTTCGTCAAAATGCAGCAAATCCTCCACCTTCACCCGCTTCAGCTTCGGTTCGGCGGAGGTCGGATCGTCGATTTGTACCGAGACCATTTTGTCCCCGTGGTCGTACTCGGATTTCACGACTTTTCCCCGTTCGGGCTTCTTGTAGTGGAGGAAGGACCCGAAATCGAAAAAGGACGAGCCGGAACTGTTCGCTGACCCGGCGCGAATGTAGACTTTCTCGCCTTGTTGGAAGAGCTTTTCGTTCTTTCGCAAAACTGGACACACTTTATTCCCACTCGATAAATAATTGAATTGAAAACCTAAATCGTTCCCTTGCTCCCTGTAACTCGGGTGCTTCACCACCATTTCCGTCCCGCCGGAGTGGTTCCCGGGCCCGAAAGTCGCTGAATTCTTCACCGTCCGAGATTTCTCCAGCAGCAATCCCGCCCCTAAATCCCTCCTTGGGACGCACTTGTAGTCGGGGGTGAGGGAGCAGACGTGCTCGTCGCACTCCATGAAGTCCTGCACCGCACACCGCGACCGACACCGGATGGTGTCCGTCGGAAACTTGTAGATTTGCGGCGGCGGCTTGGTCCCGAAGCCGAACAACTTCTTCACGTTGCTGGCGAGCGCACCCGCGGTTTGTTTTATCTTTTCGCCGACCGATTTGCTCTTTGGGTCCACGTCGCTCCAGTCGCACAGTTTGTGCCCGTGGTACTCAAACGCCATGCACTGGGCTTTCGTTTTCTGCAGCGGGCACTCGCTGTCCGTCTCGCGGGCCTGGTCCTCCGGGTTCAGCCCGTCGATGACGCAGCGATAGTTGTGCGTCGTGTTCTGTTTGGAATCCGCTTTGTTGTCAAAGAAGTAGTGGAAAACTGGGTAATCCGTATCCTTCCCGACTTCGTCAGAATCGCACTCATCGCGGCCGGTTTTCGGGTTGTGGAAGCACTTGTCGGACTTCACACCGGGGGGAAGTTCGGTGCACCGTAGGGGGTTCAATCCGGCCTTAGGGTTCAACGTGTCATAGATGTAGGTAGCCTTGTCGATGCTGAACGTGGTGGAAGGAGAGCCCGCAAAGCCAACCATGGTTGATCTCTATACAGAGTTAATTTCGAAACTTTCTTTTTTCTTGCGTCAACGAGAAATAGACGTAAGGAACAACGTGACCATGATCTTTATCCCGGTGCCTCTCCGAAGAAAGTCACGGTTTCTCTAAAATGGTAAGGAGGACAAGAAGCTGGACCTATCGAACAAGAAGCGATAACTCAAGTAAACTGTCACGAGAACGTTACTCCTCTCTGACTCCAGCAATGAATTCCAATTAGTTACTCTCGCGGTGGACTGTCAAACTGCTTCTCAAGCAACACTCATCTTCAATACTGTGCGTGTGCTCAGATGTCGTGCGCACACACATTGCTATTCTCATAGAAAACGACAGAACATCAAGAGGGCCGCAAAGAACTGAGACGAGTATAGTGTAGGCGGTACAATCAATGCGCATGCCCACGCCTGACGAGAACGAGGACGAACACCAGTGCCGGGATTCAGTGTACTTAGCACCCGGCTGCAGAAATCTTTTGATGATTTTGATAAAATTCTATATGTCAAAAGAGGTCGTGTTGGGTTGTGATGGGTAATGCCAATGAGCTATCATGTTCTGGACATGCTTTTTTCGATCCGAGATCCGTTCATGATTAAGACGACATATCTACACCACCTTGCCCTCTTTCCACAAGCAGTCTCCCAATGAGTGCATGGACAGGACACCATTCCCCTTGTTCAGTTTCCTGATTTCTTCCGTGCTCATTGCGGTCAGGCCGACGGCGCACGCGGTTTCCTTGTTCTCGGCAACAATTTGGACTGGTACGTCCTTTGGTACGTCTTCCATCGCTCCGCCCGTTGGGTGAGTCAGACCCGGACACATCACGTCGGCGCCCTGTAGGGATGGAAAATTCAAACTGTAGTTCTAGTATTTTTCCGAAATAATTGTTGACTGCTACAAATACAAAAAGAGCGAGAGCGGAAATCAGAACAAGTGCGCTTTTCCCGCCTAAGTCTGTGGTGAAAACAAGAATCCAATACGGAATACGGAATAAGTTACCACGTATGAGCATCGTGGAAAATACACAACGAGCTGTACCTTCAAAACGAATTTGATCGCTCCGGTGTCCACTTGCATCTTTGGCATCATGCTTGGGTACTGGTGCAGTAGTCTCAGGGTCGGGAACCACACCTTGCCTGGGTTGTTGCTGTCCGGCTGAAAAAAAATCACCTCCTCGTCCAAAATAACCAGTTGAATCTTGTTTTTCGTCTTCCCGAGAAGAATGTTCGCGTTCTTCTTCGGCCAAATCAGGTCCATCACCGGCTGCAACCGCGGGTAGGACTCCAATATGTCCTCCCTTATCTTGCGCTCCACACTGGACTTCGCCTTGTTGGTCTGGACGTCCTTCGGGGTGTAGTTGCGAAACATGGTGGGCGAAAAGCAGGAGTGATATTAATATTTTGCGATACTGATACACCAGAAAAACGGAGATGCGACGTTGTCGTTGAGTGAAATGATAATGATCTTTTGACGCGCGAATACGTATGGCTTATGGCTATCTATGGGCAGAAAATGAAGATACAACAAGCACCTTCTAGTGGCGTGGCCTGTGGCTGCAATAATGTCTTTGAGTCACAATCATGTTGGTGCATTGTACTTCTGTGTGAACCGAATTTGAAACGCGTGCATTGAGGTCCTGATGTGAACATCCCATGATGATCCTCGTGTGTGTGTTGATTTTCTGATTCTGATCCATCGCGAATAATTAATGCACATGCACACGGTCGTACAACCACAAAACGTGAAGATCGTCGCACATTTGTTTGTGGGTGAAAAGGGCGCACAACACCATGCGATCGCACTTGTCGGCAGCCCGCAATATCAGTCTTTTGTCATCTTTTATTTTCTTTCATGATGTTCAGGAACGCATGCCATTTTTTCACGGAGAGTGCCAACATGTTGATGTTTTCTTTGCAAGTGTGCGCAAGAAGTCGCTTAGCGGAAAATAATTGAGAGTGAGTGTGAGATGAAACATTTACATTTAGGCACTGATACATGGACACGCCGGCTCGAAGATCTCGGAAGAAAAGATCTATGCATCATGCAGATGTTGAAACGCGCTATAATGTGGGTTCATTGGGTGCATGAGCATCACCGGGAACGGGCTATGCGTGGTACGGGATTTCGTTTTGAAAAAAAGAAAATCGTGCCCCAAAATGCTGAAATAATACCACAAAACTGAGCGAACGCGAGCCCAAAGCTCCTCATCATAAATTTTGCTTTTTTTGTTCTCCTTGATACCTGTTTTTATATCGAAGGGTCTACATCTACTATTCAATTGTGCACACAAGTTGAAGTTCAACTTGGAATAAAAAAAGATGCAACAGCACACAACAGATACTACTACGCCGCATTTCTTCTATCGCGCGAATGAGCAAATGCGAAAGATTTCGTCCCATCGCAAATCTGGTACACGGAGGACTTCTTGGAAATCGATGAGCTTGTCGTTCGACCACATGTTTGTTATGGTCGTCTGGTATTGCACACAGTTGATCGCGATCATGAGAAATTCGAAAAGCGTAGTGTACTTCACGAAATCCTGGGCTATCATGCTGCGTCGGCTCTCGAGAGAGTCGCTGTCCTCTGATTCTTCCTCATTTTCGGCGTTCATACTCTGGTCGTCGGTAAAAGCCGATGGCATGTCGGGCAGAATTCCTGTTTGGTTGTCCGCAGATGACGCGGGGTTTATTCTAGTTGTTTTTTTACGACCCGGGCAAAACCAGAGAGACCAGCTTGAAGTTGTTTTCTTGGCCGCTGCGGCTTCGGCCGTGGAGCAGAGCAATGTGGTGTGAATTAGAAAAACTCACTACACGCTTTCCGCAGGTGGATCGCAATCACTCTTGTGGGAGCACGGCGAAATTACATCCTGTACTGTGGGTGGGAACGGTTCGTCCTGTCCTCCACAATGCACGATTATATCAAGACCATTTCTTCTTCATGCACATCGATAGTGATCCGCGAGAATTGAAAAAAGCGAAAGGCTCTACTGCGCATACGAAGTGACGGCGAAATACTCGAGCACGTCAAAAACGAGGAACAACGTGGCGCGAAAGAAGTAATCGGGCTTGATGTTGTTTTTGTACCCCGGGGACTCGACGATCCAGCTCTGCTGCATTAGTAACGGCAAAAACAGCAAGAACATAGACATCACTGCCGCGACAATCCACTTCGCTTGCCAGCGGAAGAACGTTTCATAACGGATCACCTTGCACAGCCCCTCGAGCTGGTCCTCGCTGTCAACGTAGACTTTCCGCACCATTTCCAGGTACCGCAGCAGCCACTGCCCGCCCTGCGTACTCGAAGTCCTTGCCGGTGTTGTCGATGAACTGGCCGCATTAGCTCCGACAAAACTCAGTGCAGACGTGAGCATGCGGCTGACCAGGCTCGGCGTTGCGTCACTTGCTGGTCGGTGGTCTGCTTTTTCAGCCTGCTCGTCGTAGTTGAAGACCCCGACGCCGTTAGAACAATTACTCGGCTTCTCTTTTGCGCTCGTGACGCCAACTTGGTCCTCCGGGCCAGCTGAAGCGGCGGTCTGCAGCAAGGTGACGGGTGGAGGTGGTATTTTCTTCGAGGAAGCAGTGGAGGACTTCGTCCTACTCGACCCCGGCATATTCGTTACCCCGCTGGCGAAGGCACGGAAGCTCGACCGGCGAACCCGCAGTGCTTCGTCGAGATTGCCGGGAAAGTTGAAAAACTTGATGGTCACGTTCTCGAAGGAGAAAGACAACACTTCATTATTTTCTTCGCTGTTGACAAGTTGAGGTTGCTCCGTTTTAATAGTAGGCTTCAGGTGCGACAGCGGGTACTGATATTTATTTCTTTTGCTCTGCATCCGCTCTGCAGTTGTCCGGCGTGGATAGCCGTCCTCCCCGTGCTGGTCACGTAGTTGCGCCATCGAAGACGAAGATCCGACGTGATCCACCCCGTGTCCTTGTTTCCTTACCAGTTGTGCATGCGAAGTTCCACTTCCGAAATCCAACTCCCTCGAGTCGTAAAACCACGTCCAGCAGGCCAGGTAGCGGTCGAAGCAAGGCGATTCGTTCCACCACCGCATGGCGTATGTGAGCCAGGGGTACTGCTTTGCTAGCTCCCGTGACTTCAGGCACTTCACGAAGAAAACCACGGCGGGGTCGGAGGTGCGCAGTGCGTAGTGGATAACATGGGAAACCAAGTCTTTGACCAGTGTGAAGACAAAAACCGAGGGCAAACTGCTTATCGATGCGAAATCTTGACGCGAAAGACTAATGATTGTGTTCATGTTTGTCTTTACTTGTTACAAGGTCCCGTCCTGTTCGAGTTGTACGTGCATGATATACCCTTAGCGAGGATCTTGTCGTGTGCAATTTATCGAAATCAAAAATGATCCAAACAGACGAATAAGACGCAACTTCTCGTCGACGTCATCCAGAATTCACATGGATAGTGCGGAGTAAGAGCATACGTGTGATGCCGGCTTTCCACATGTCCCAGTAGGAGTACGACCACCACTTGACGCGAAACATGTAGGCCCGGTGTGCCCTTTCGCCACCCACTGTACGCGGGTCGTAGGCCGGGTCCTCCTTTAGATTACTGTGCACCAGGGGGAGCATGCACCGAGCCAGAAAGTTCTCAGAGATGGGCAGCCAGAGCTGGAATGTGAAGATCAACAGGACAGATTGCATCAACAGTGCTTTCATCGGCTCTTCTTCTTTTCTGCGATCGATGCTGATCAAGATCGTGAGCACTCCCTGGGGACCGAAGATGAACAGGTACTGCGCACTGCCGTACACGACAAAAGAAAACGAGCCGAGCACGTAGGTGCGGAGACGTTCCCAGGTGCGGGGCGCTGGATAGAAGGTGGCGGTGACGAGGAGAAGCCACGCACCGTGGCACGCGCCGTTAATCATCTTCGCGTCCTCGCGAGCGTCCTCCTGTTTCAAGTAGTGCCACGTAATCATGGTCCACAGGAGGACTAACACCCAGACGAAGCTCCGCATGCCCGTGCTGCCCAAGCCCTCGTTCCAGAACACAGCATGGTACAGCCCGATCCACGTCATCGCCGCTACATAGAAGGGAAGCTCCTTCAGAAATATGCTGGCTTGCCAGTCTGGTATTTGCAGATCAGGCGTTTCTGCGGTGGCAGGGACAGAAGTCGATGTGGAAGTTGATTGTGTTGTACCACCATCGTTTTCAGCTGCTAGTACTGGTGCGTGTGGTGCCACGACCGCAGTTCCTGATTCTGTTCGTTCAGTTGCACTCCCAGTTCCAACAGTTTCTAAAAGCACCGCCGCGTTGTTTTTCTTTTCTTCGATGGCACGGTTGTGCAGGATCGCGCTCCTCGATATGGGGCAAAGGGGAAAGCTTCCCAATCCAACGTCCCAGAAAAGGCCGAAGTAGGCCCAGGTGGAGAAGAAGTTGCCCAGAATGATAAACACCGACAGGCAGGTGAGGGAACACGCCGGCTTGCCGTCCGCTCTGCGTAAAACCGAGGCTGTGGTGGAAGCAATGGACTCGGCCCGGCTTGTGCGGCGGCCAGCGGTACCATTATTTGGTGGAGGTGGCTCGTTTTCCATTTCCTCCAGGTCCTGCCGTTGAGTCATAAAAGTCGACCGCAGAAGGGAGATACGGCAACTGATTTTGTTCACCGCTTGTTCCAGGGACTGGGACGCGGAGACCGCCGTATTTCCTCCCCCAGCACCACCTCCGCTGAAGTTACTGCCATCCTCTTCACTGTCTTCCTCCGCCACCAGGGCTGCAATCACGGACCTCCGAGCTGTGCTGGAAACGCTGGCACTACTGGAGGTTCTGCCTGTCCTTTGCGAGCTCCTGCCCGTGATGCTCGAGATCAGTGTCGACCTGTCCAGAAACCTGGCGGAGACCGTTCCGGATATAGAATTGGGGCGCTGTCGTGATCCTTTGCTCGGCCTCGTTTCCTCGGTGGTGCGGTTCATGTTCACCAGTGCCGACGGGGGGTGTTGTGGGCCACCACCGTCGTCATCACCACCATCATCTTCTGGGGGAAACGCGCTCATCCTCGATATCTTTCACTTGCAGTTGCAGCTTCTAGTGGACCAGGGATTTCACGCGTCTCACTGAAAGAGAAAGAACCACTTTCACGTCACGATGAAAAGAAGCTGCAACTCAAATTTCTACTTATTTCATAGATAGTGTAAGTTGTAAGCCCAGAAGTGGTCCAAACTGCAGAAGCGCCATCATTTTGCATTTCATCACGGACCAAGTTAGGCTTGCGTTTTGACGAATAGGACTTCCACCTTGTTCGCCTCATAAAACATGTATCGCGGACGCGGCAGGGCGATGCGCATGCGTGCCGACCCTCGTCATAGCATTTTTCTTGGCTGATCCTGTTTGGTCGCATTTGATTTCGCTCACGCTCGTCAAAAGAGACGCGCATCGTAAAATCTCAGCTCTGACTATACGACAAGCGTAATCCGGGAAAACCGATGAACAACACAGGGGACAAAACACCAAAGCCACCGGAGTGAAACTAAGTCACAGACGTCAGACTACTTCTCGTCTAGTTCTGATTCTCGTTGATCAGCGACTTTGCCAGGAGGTAATGCATACCAACGACAAAGCAAAACTCACTGAGTCTCGAGGAGGCTCTGGTTGGAAAAGAAAATTTGAGCCATCTACACGTTATCGAAACGCTAGGCACCGTACAACAATTTCGAAACATATGTATGGAAACGCGGGCATTCAAATTCGATTGGAGAAGCAATCCTGCCTTTGTAGAATTACTACTTCTGCGGCTACCACTTCTACTACTTGAATCACAAATGTTCCATTTCCCGAATCGCTCTTCGCACATCGGACATGACCGACCGCGAGCTTTCCGCTGTCCCCTCCAATGCCGTATTTATCGTGTTTTCGCGCTGCTTCGTGGTGTATGTAGTTCTAGGTGGTTGAAGATGTGGTTCTGGTAGATAACTGTTGTCGGCGGTAGTTTTACCGTGAAGCATGAATGCAGCGGAAGGTCCGCCCGTGGAGGTAGAAGATGATCCTACAGACCCTGTAGTCCCCCCCGCTGCAGCATTCATTGCCAGAACTTTCGGACAAATTCCTGACAAGATGTTCGTGAAGAGGTCCAGCTGCTCCTCCCCATTCTTCCCGCTCAGCGCCTCCGGTGTGGCTGCGAACACGTGCTGGCTCGGGACGTACTCCTCTTCCAGAATCTCATTTTTCGCCGTGTCAACTTTCTCCCCAGAGGACCCGTTTCCACCACCGAGCACGAGCAGAACTTGGGTCGTCTTTGTTCTCTCTCCATTCGCACTCGGCGTGGCGAACTTTTTCATTTCTTCGTGGATAAGGTGTTTCCTCGACCATTTACAATCGCTGAAAACCACAATGACGTCGCTGCCCTCCGGTTGGTTCAGTTTCAAATTCACTTTCACCCGGTTCGCCAAGACCACGCCCCCGGGCACCTTGGCTAATTCTGCTTCGCGCAGTTTCCGGCCGGCTTTCCGACTGGAATGAATCTCCTGGAACAAGTCCCGGGCTTTCTTCAGCGCCGAAGCCACGTGGGTGCCAAAGCCAAGATTCATCTTGGGAGTTCTTGAAGACGAAGTTTTACTTCCAGTAGCAGATGAGGCGAGGGAAGAGGACAAGCTGTTCCTCTCCTGATCGGCCAACATTTCATCCGCAGCTCGGTGTTCTTGCAGTTGTAAAAAGTTTCCGTCCACCCCAGAAGTCGCCAGAGACGCGCCGCCGTTATCCGCCGTGTATTCAGTGACTAAATCCCGCTGCGCTTTTTCAATGCTCTTCTTCACTTTCGGCTCGGGGAGGGAAGCAGCTGTGTTCCCAAACGCCAGCTCCGCAAAACGGACGTGGTCCGTGTAGTCGGAGATTTGTTTCATCATGCTATGGCGAAATTGGTTCCGGAAAGAACTTACTTCCGTGTCGTTCATGGAGCCAGATTGGTCCACGATTAAGACCACGTTGCGCGCGCCGCATTGGAACTGGACGGGGGAGGAGGTAGTTGCTCGCGTGCCAAATATAGCCGCCGGGGCGGAGGTAGTGAGGTCGTGGGCGTTTTCTTGCCGGCCATCGCTTTGGCCGCGGCTTCGCTTTTTCTTGGCTCGCCATACCGCCGTGAGTAACGTTAGGCCGCACGGTATGGCGGCCGCTCGATAAACGTCGCAAATTTTCGCAAATTCCAGAAATTCGTTTCCGCAGGCGAGCCCCCATGCTATGGGGCCGATCCGGGTGCCACGGGGGGCGCCCAAAAAGCGAAGAAAAATCGGGCCCATAGCATGCGGATTGGCTTTGCGCGTCTGGGGCGCTTTTTCTTTTTCGCGTTTTTATTTTTCACGCCGGCGCTTTTTGCAAAGCTTCCCAGGCTCTGAAACCGGCGAAAAGGCGGCCGCTTTCGCGGACGCCCAAAATGCTCCGAAATCGCGGCCGTGCCATATTGTTTCGCTGTTCTGATTTTGGGCGCGTTTTTTGCGCGCCCCTTTTTGGGCGCCCCAAATCGCCAGAAACCAAGGCGGCGGGCGCCTCAGAAGGGCGCCCCTTTTGCCGGCTCCCCTGCGTCGTTTTATCAAGTACGAATCGACAGTTTTCGACCGGGCTTGTTTGATGGCAAAGCCCCAGCCGCTTGATAATTGGAAATCTTTTTTGTCAAAATACACTTCCGCCCGCTTGAAAACTGCCGGTCGTTTTTCTGGGTATATGGCAAAAAAACTCCCCGGTTAGAACCGTTCGGTGACCTCACTACATACTATTGCTAGTAACAGGACCTCCGGGTCCTGCTTCTTCCGCACTACTAGTACTAGAAGTTGAAGTACATGCTTCTTCATTACAGCTTTCAGTTTTTTCGTACCACTTTCTCAAGCACTGCCCCTCGCTACCCTTCGCGGGCTCCTTGATCTTTTTCTCAAACTTCAAAACCCCACCCCCACAGGCCCGCGAACAGCCGGTCTCTACTTTGCCGTCCGCTTCCGTAGTCAGTGGCTCCCAGCTTTCACTGACAGTGCAGTCCTTGTCGCACGCCCCGTTCGGGTTGCAGGGCTTCCGCTCCTGCACAGCCGGACAAACCTTGCCGCCGTGCAGCGGGGTCTGGAGCACTTCGCGGGTGCGCATGGTGGTCCCGAACCCGCAAATTGCACTACAATCCGACCAATCCGTCCAGTCCCCGAGCTTGCAATCGACCGGGGGAGTATTGGAAAAAGAAAGGAGAAGGACGGGACGAGATTTCTCAGAAATTAAAGCTGCTTCTCTTCAGCGAACTTGTAAAGTACAGCCCATTTTTCCCTATGTCATTCGCTTGGCATGCAGGCATGGTGGATTTTCTGTATCTGTGTCATGACATCAAAATTGTCACCCAGGAGAACGTCAACACCTACACCCTGCAAGAAAAGTATAAGAGTCGTGTCTCCCTCGTCCCATGTTGAAAAATTTTCTTTCCTTAACACGCCACGTCGTTGCAGCTCACTTCTTTCTCTGTCGCGGTTAAAACCGACTTTTTCCCGTTCTTCCCGTCCGCAAAACAGGAAATCCCGTACTGCGTGCTGTTTCGCAGAATTTCCCGAGTTAGCAGCATCTTCCCCGGTTTTTCCAATTTCCCATTTCTGCACTGCTTCGTACACAAACTTTTCGGCTTCCACGGAGTCATTTCGCAATCAAAGGTCTGTTCCTGCGCGACCTGGTTTCTCACATCTGTGTAGGTGCAGGTGGAGGAAGCAAGGCCCGATCTTTCCTCCTTCAGACTCTTTGTGCGGATGTTGAAGTCTCTTTTCACTTGCGCTAGTTCGTTTTCCAAACCTTTTTTCATATCCTGGTACCTCTTCCGCAACTGCTCCGTGTGGCTCATTTTTCTTGCGACTTGCTTCTCCTCGTTCTGCAGTGCCGCGATGCGGTTGTTGAGGTCGGTTCTTTGATTCTCGCATTGCTTTTCTTTACTTTCCTGCTCTTCCGTGTGTGTCTGCAGCGCGTCCTCGGTTTCCCCGATCAGAAAATCCAGAGTGTCCTCGTCGTACGGGGGACAACAAGGCTCGGAAGAAAGAACTGCAGAAGTGCTACTACTGTCGACATCCGACGAAGCAGCAGAGGATTTTGTCTCGTTACTCTTTTGACCCCTAACTCTTTTCCCAAAATACTTGGCGTACATTTCCCTCCGATCTTTCAACTCCAGTAATTTTCGTTTTTTCTCTTTCCCGATCCTGTCCACCTCCTTCCCGCACTGTTCCTCAACTTCGAGCTTGTACCTTCTCCGCAGGCGCGCAATCTCGGACTTGCTTCCGTCGACACTATTCCTGCTTTCCGCCTGTTCAAGCGCGATTTGCGACAGCGCGGAGCTCTGTCTCTGCAGCTCTTTCCGCAAATGCTGCATTTTCTCGGTGAACTTGTGCTCGTGGGTGTGCAACAGATTGTCGAGCACGTCTTTCCGTTTCCAGTTTTTCTCTAACATCTCGTTGATCGAAGAGAGAGAACGATCGAGTAGCGTGGACTTGATATTAGAACTGGTACTGTGCTTATTTAAAAGCGTGTTCGTACTATCACTGCGGCCCGCAGAGGTGTCCTGTTCGTCAAAGTTGAATTCTTGTCCAGTTCGCTGGTCCTCCCTACCGCTCGAGACTTCAGAGGAAATGAAAAGGCCCTTGTTGTTTACTGATGATGTCGACGTGAAGACTCTGCTCCTTGTTGCATGACCTTCTCCTCGTCCGGTTCTTGTATGCACGACACTGAGAGCGGAACAAGTCGGCAGGAAAAGAGAGCAGAACAAGTTTGCCGCACTAACAATCGCGAGCAGAGTCGTTGTGGGAGAAGAGTAGAAATTGGGAAGAAGAAGCCGACGTTTTGTCATGGTGGGCATCTCTTTCTGCAGGCAGGTGGATTCGTCCCTCAATATACACCTCGTCTCGTCTCTCTCTGCAGCATGTTTTTGCGAGGACACGAGGAGACCCAAACTCATTCGCGACCCTGAGGATTGCGGCGCCATGCTTGAGTAATACGGTTTTTGCAAAAGATTTCTGTTGGTCTACTGGAATAGGCAGGAGAGGTCGGGGTCGCACAAATGAATTAGAAATCAATGCCGAAAACCGAAGACCAAAACGGGGTGGCTCTTTGCCGATCGATTACGATTAGCACCGATGGGCAGCTTTCGTCCCTTTTGCGCGAGGGAGAACTAGTACAGGTCGCACACGACTCTGTACAACCTCAGCACTTTGAGCTCGACCTTCTTTGCAACAGTTCTGGTGCCTAGGATCGAAGAAACAAAAACAATTGGTGTTGCAAGACGAAGAACTGTGGAAGAGATGGAGCGGTGACGCCGCGTCGTGGTTCCCAGCAACGACGGTAGCAATACGCGACAGACGACGCGGAGAAGAAGAAAACTACTATACCAGCACAAGGCAAGAAGAAACTGCTCGTCGTGTTCCCGAGATTATAATTTCCGAAAACGCAAATCTTACGTTTGTACGAACAGGCTGCATCCGCATCTCCTAATACTGAACACGGAAAAGTCCATCGTAGGACTCTTTCTCTTTTCGTGCGATAATTTTACCAATAGATGCCAAGTACCTAGAGAAAGTTTCTTCGAGATCTACGGAGCAGCTACTCGCGAGTAACAAGCAGCCTTTGCAGACCTCGTCGCGGAAGTAAACTTCTCGGGGTAGTAAAAATAAGGTAGCAAGAGTTTTTGGTGGTGTTCTTCTTCTTGTGCGAAGTTCCTAGCGCTACAAGCGGCGTGAAGAAGCCCCGGAGGAGGACAACTTTGAGCGCGCGAGCGACTAGCGCATCCTCGCAATAGTTCCTTATCGGCGGTACTAGAGACCTATCTCGTCGACCACGATCTTTGTTTGTCGTGTTCATCATCCAACACGCTCTACACCCTCGCCTTGTATCTTCCATGCTTTTCTTCTGTCCGACGAGGATGGCTCCGACTAGCACGCTTTATATCTCGATAAGGAAAGAAGTAAAAGTCAGAAGTAGGTACATACGAAAATACAACTACTCCAGAAGTTCAATCATACATGGTAGGGCAACATCAACATCATCAAAAAATGTCCAATCATACACATGATAAATTTCATCTTCTTCGATAAAAAGAGGCTATCATTATTTCCATTCCCCAAAAGGAGCTCCAATAGCACTATCTCTGCGAGGCGATGAGTACTACGATGAGTCGACCGTAGCAGCAGGTAGTTCTTTACTACGGTTCAAACTCAAGGAGCTTCACAAAACAAAAAAAAAACCTTTAGTTGCCAATAAAAAGCATACAAACTTATACAATCCCATTCTTTATTTTCAAGCTGCGTGGTCAAGAACAACATCAAGTTTTACTAGATAACTGTACATCAAGACTTCTCAATGACCAACCCCTGCTCGTCTCGGTCGTGTTATCGATCAAATAGCCGCCATGAAAAGTTAGTTCAACGTGACGAAGTTTCCCGTCATGCTAGCCTTTCCTGCCGCGTCACCCTGGAACAAGGGTGCTTGTTCTGGCGCCAGAAGGTACTCACCTAATGCCTTCACGGCCGGGGCGGCCATATCCTCCGTCAGGAATTTCGCTTCGTCTTTGTAGAAGGCTTGAATGACGTAGCCCTGCTGGCCAAGGCTGGTGGAGGAGCTGAACCCCGTGGTCTTGAAAATATTCAAGAAGACGCAGTTTTCCTCGGTATCTTTGCAAGAAGTGACCACGGCCGGGAACAGTTCGGATTCCAGCTTGCTGACCACGTCCTTGATCTTGTTCCCGGTGACCGCGGCAGGGTCGAACTGAATGCTCGTAATCCGCCCAAACGGCTTCGCGAAACTGGCGTATTGGGTCTGGTCGGGGATTTTTTCCCCCAAGGCCTTTGCCGGGTCGATCCCCAAGGACTTGCTGTCCTCTTGCTGCCGGAAATCGTCGTCCGTCTGTTGATTCAGGCGCGCCAAGTTCCCACTCAACGGCGCGTCGGCGAGCGCCGCGGCGGGATCGAAAATTTTCGTGCTTGCCGCGTCGATCACCGTTGCGTGCGTCGTGTTAACCGCGTCGCGCAGGGCCTGGTAAGTTTCGTCCGCAGCCATGGCATCCAGGAAGCTCTGGCGGTCCGGGTAGACTTCCATGGTGGAGAACAGCGTTGTCGTCACTGCCGGCGTCACGCCGGGAACGGCGTACGCGTCGTTCTTCCACACGTCGTACCGCTCGCAAAGCTGCTTCGCCCCACTGTAGTTCTGCTTCTTGCGCAAGTCCGCCATCTTTTTCACGCACGGGGTTTTGCGGATGTTGGCGAAAATGTTCTCTTCGAAGTCCTTTACCGCGTTGGCGACCGCCGTCGGGTCCGCGTCGTGCTTGAATTGCACCCGGTTGCTGACGGTGTACAGAGAGGGGAGGTTCTGCAGGCCAAACTCGCTCCCGGAGAACGCGAACAGGGGCTGAATCCGCAGGCCTTTGACCTCGTCCGAGTCGCGCCAGGTCCGGAAGTTCGTGAACGCCTCGGCCTTGCCGTGCGCCTGCTGGGCGGCGGCGGTCGCAAACGCCTCTTCGAACACGTAAGTCACAAACTCCTGCGACACGCCGCTGTCGTCGTCCTTCTTGCTGCTGCGGCGGAAGGCGTCGTAGTAGAGGCACCCGGGTTCTTTGCTGTCGTCGTAGCAGGAGTCGATCAGTGCGGGGATGTGCGTCTGCTCCAGCTCTTTGATGACCTTCTTTACCGCGTCCTTCTTCGCCGGGTCCCCCGTGAACGCCAGAACCGCGGTGGCGCCCTTCACGCTGCTCGACTGCGCCTTCGTCTTCCAGTCGCGCCGGTTCTCCGCGAGGCCGGCGGCGCTGTTCTTGCTCTCCTTCTTGTTCTCATCCCCACCTGCGCCCTGCTGGTAGAGCCAGTTGCTCCCCCCGTAGTGCTGGAGCTTTTTGCCCTGCGTAAGGTCCACCCCGTCCAAAAGCTTGTCCTGCGCATACCGCTTCAGCGCGGCGTCAAACGCCTTGTAGGCCCACGTGTCCTTGAAGACCTTGTAGCCGTTCGCGATTACCTCCTGGCTGTTGGTGTCCGGGTTGGTCTATCCTGAGCAAAAACGGGCCCACACCCCGAAGCAGAGATGGGAAATCTGCCAGACAAAGCCAGACCTTTGTTTAGGGGCTCACGCATGACACGATGCTGGTGCAGTGTAATCGTGTGTTGCAAGTACTAGTGCAGCAGACGCACCACAGATCCACTTCCCTATCTTGGTCTTCCTGGTTACTTATCGCATTTTTACAAACTCCCAACTTCAAATAGAAAAAAATTGCCTCCCCTGCGGAGGGGCATGGCAGAGCCACAGGCTCTGGAACTGGATGTATGATCTGGGCATGCAGCATGGAAAGAACTATCTCTATCGCATGGCAAGAACTATCTCTATCGTATGGCAAGAACTATCTGTATCGGTTGTGGGCCCCGTTTTTCCGCCGGATATGGTCCACGTTTTGTTCATCGCATAGGCCGTGTGCAGCAGGACCATTTCCTTCTGTTCCGCCGGCTTGGTGGGGTCCCCCTGCTTCCCGCGGTAGGTCTCGAACCGGAGGCAGGCCTGCGCCAGCACCTTGTTCTTAACTGGGCTGTAGCACTTCTGCTTGAGCTGCGGGATTAGTGTGAACTCCAACTCGTCCAGTGCAGCCTGCACCTTCTTTTGCGTGGCGGCGTCCGGCGCGTTCACAAAGGTCAGCACCGGGTTAATGGAGTAGATTTGCTCCGTTGACAAGGATCCGTCCCCCTTGCTGTTGACGACGGCGAAGTAAATGGCCACGATTATACCCGCGATCAGGGCTATGGGAGCGTCAGGTTTGAAATCGTCAAAGTTGAAATAATTTGTAATGCATAAAATGCATGACCCGAGGTACGTGTGTTGCAGAGCAGGCAAGTGAGGCCGATTGTAAGCCTGATTGGGGTTACAGCTCGAGCTGCTAAAGTAGCATGAGAAAATCGCTCTTCTTTGCCTAAACAGCATGACAAACTGGATTTAGGGACCACCGAAATTTGTCATGCGCCAGTTAGAAACTGGGTTCCAACTGGCATCCATTTTATGCATGACAAATTATTTCAACTTTGTCGATTTCAACTCTGACACATCCATAAGGGCGAGAACCAAGAACACGAGGAGGCCGATGCACCACGGGGAGCACTTCTTCCGACTATCACCGCCCCCGGCGCGGGCATGCTTCGCAGCAGATCCGTGGTGACCCTTTTCCACGTCCTCTAGCAACGGATCGTAGTCCGACAAATAGTCGGCATAAGAGCTAGGCCGGTCGTTCTTGCCGCCCTTGTTGTGCTCAGGAGCGGCAGTTTTGACTTTCGGAGACGAGGCCATTTTTTGTGCGTTTTTTGCTTTGGACGGTCGTCGTTATTCTTGAGGCTATACTACTACTCTTGAGTTTATTCTTGTTGTCGTTTTTTCTAATGTTCTTCGGCTTCGCTACCGACAACTATAATAGATACGTCGTACTATCTGCTGTTTTCCCGGTCCATAGACTTTCGACTTTCGCTAGCTAGAAATAGCTGTACATGCTTCTTGGTCCAAAAAGAGTTTTTGTTTTTTATGTGATAGTAAATTGTACTTTTGGAAGTTTTTGTAGTAGGTGTCTTCAAAATTATCCAATATTGAAAATCGCTGAAGTTGATTTTTGTGAAGAATGATGAGGTAGGCCCCATTTAATTGTACGATTCGAGTTTGCATTTTCTTTTTTGAGCATGTGCATGAAGGCGATACCGATAGATGCAAATTTCACGTGCTTCGTTTCAACATCTTGAAAGAGTCTCATAGTTATTTTTCCTATACTAAACTTGTATGATCGCTTTGGGCGGATGAAAGGTGCGCAAATATATGCTTGTGAGTCTCTGCTCTTCCATTTGACCGTGGACCGACGAGCTTCATCTTCGGCGTCGACAGGGAACGCGACCGATAAGTAGAGGTAGAGGTTGATCGTTTTCATTATATTGGTTTCAACAGGTCATTGACTTGGGTTTGTTGTCCTCTTGATCGTCTTTTCCTCATTTTATTACCGAGTGATCTGTGAACCGGCGTTGGAGCTATTTGTGCGGCAGAGATGATGCGAACGCATTTTTGTCTTCGGTTCTCCTTTTTGTTTTACTTTTATTTCATCCTTTTCACTAAAAAAGCAACTTAGGAGCGTTACTTAGTTTCGCGGGATCACCTCCACCTGAGATGAAACATGACAGAACACGCAACGATGAAGATTGATTGGCTACCTCATCACCAACTCTTCCGAGTCATCTTGTTCCTCATTTTTTTCGTTTATAACGACTCGCCTGCCCCCGTGTATTAATCAGTTGCAATGTATGTATGAGAAACCTGCTCATCTTGTTGTCAGTATGAGCAGCCTGCTCCTACTGATGTATGTATGTACTATAAGCAACCTGCTCATTCCTTTTAGAACGAGTGCCGTCCCGAACCGCGAAGGAGTTCTTCAGATGGTTTCTAATGATCAGCAGGCGATCGAAATGCTAGTAGGAAAAGGTCTTTAGATGTTCTTGTGTGTTGATCATGTTGAGGCAAAAACTACACTCGCAATCAGTGTAGCTGACTGCGCACGATTCCGACTGGGGAATTCTTACCAGTTCATCGCAACGCTAGTCTTCAGCATCATCAACCAGTTTCATCAGTTATGCATCTTTTTTATTTTTCACTGTATGGAAAACGACTGCTCACTAGCTTGCGCATCAACTACTGAACACGCGCTCTTGCTTGCTTAGGATCAGTTCGCACTACTTAGATGTGTGCGACACACTTGTAAATCTTGATACTTCTGCCCCTAATTGGCACATTAAGTATAGCAAGCTTTCGGTTTGGGTTTCGCTCCGCTAGCGATAGTAGTTGAAATAACGATACATATGGATCACTATATGTTCTCAATATTGGTGTTACATCCTACTTCTGGCGTTCCCAGGGTGATGTTGTTTTTGTGATCGCAAACTTCTGTTTTCACAGTCTTTTACACTTCAACTTTTAAATTGTCCTTTCCTGACAAGATGAACTTTGCGTAGGAACTTTTGATGTTCTGGCCTCACAGTATACTAGTACCAAGCGAAAAACTACGTGAAAGTAGTAATGCTACTTCGTCGCGTTTTTTGCGTGATCAAAGTTGTACATCCAACAATGTTCTTCTCTAACAGGTGGGCCAGGGCCCATCTCGCCCAGCGTTGTTCTCAGTTCTCCCAGAAGTCACACTGCTTTTATCTTGACGGAAATAGGATTAGGTGCCAGTACAAGGACCTAGAAGACGGCTGACGACGAGGTGGACGTCGTGCAGCTCACATCCTCTCCGTCTAGAACGTCAGTACTTGCTGCAATTGGTTCTGGCCGTTGGTCAGGGACTGCGACACCCCCGCTTGTGCGGAAGCCAGCTGCTGCGCGGAGCGCTGCAGGAACGGAATAACCGTGGCACTGTGAAAATCACTCACCGCTTGCAGCTATGCATTGCAAATATGTCAGGGTCTGGAAACATTGCTGCAACTTGTTGATGTCGTGATCATGATGGTGTTGGAGTGGACATAAAAAATCTGTCTTGCATCGTCAGCGAGACGAGCCGCACTCACACACTTTTTGTCCCTCGAAGTAGTAGCAGCACAGTCAGTACTAGCCACTTACCTCCTGGCGGATGGGCGTTGGAACACCTCTAGCATTTGCCAACTCCCGAATAAGTAGAAGGCATGAATTATTCCTCATGCGGGCTAGGTATGGAAAAAAAGCCTGCTCCGCGGATTTTGTCAGGCTCAACAGCTGTGCTGTGCATTCCAGATCGTGGTCTCTCTTCGTATTGCAATTGCAGTTCTACACGAAAATGCATGACAAACATTTTGTCCACAGCATGATTCAAGACCCAGACACACTACAAGTTGATAGTAGAGGCTGCGTCACCGGACTCGCCATGGCGTTCAGCAGCGTCGCAGAAGGTGGCGTGGAGCAGTATGCTGCGAAAATCTTATTGTCGCGAGAATGTGAAGAACGCAAAGAATGACCGCGTTGGTCATACGGAGTCGAACCAAGTACAGTTTTTTTGTTTCAATATGCAAAGACATTTTTCCAGCATGCAAGGATGAGGCATTTCTCCATGATCGAAATTTCTTGCATGCAAGGAAGAGGAACATTGACCCAGAGGGAGGCTCAGTAGGATGAAAACCTATATGTAGTACCCACAGGGATGCTCTCATCATAGATGATTGACCCAGATGATTGATCTCCCAGAGGGGGGCTCTCGTGATGGAGATAGTACAGCATGACCACATGTTGATTGTACTATCAACGTCGATCTTCGACCAGAAATGATTTTACTTCACTTCCACTTCGTCTTCAACCAAGCATATATCAAACGATATGATTTATGGCGATCTTCACGGCTTGACGCTACAACAAACATTCGTTCCACGCATAGCTGAACGCTGGCTGAGAGCGTATGGCGCTCTCAACTGTTACATTCTCAACTGTTACATGATTTGTCATGCAAAATTGCCTTGACTATCAACGCCATCAAGCTGCTTCGCGTGACAAATTCTCAGACGGCCAAACAGGCTGAGAATCTGTGCCAAATCTGTCATGCAAGACGCGCAAGGCCCTTCCTTTCACTTTTGCCATTCTTGCATTACAAATCATGTAACAGTTGAGAATGTAACAGTTGAGAACGCCATAGAGCGGAATGTGCTGGCACGGACCACCGCCATGCAAGAAGAGGTATATCCTGAGTAAAAACGTCCCCACACCAGAGTTGTCATGCAGATTTGCAATGACGGGAACATTTGTAATGCGCATCGCCAGGAGAACCATTTTTAGTCGTGTTTTGGAATTTGTAATGCTGTAAATCGGATCAGCAGATGGATTTCTGATGCAGCTGGCTTTGCGAACCTGCACTACACTACGGACTGCAACTTGCCATGCGTGACCCCCAAAAGTTCTAGGTTTGTGTTGCAAAATCCCCATCTTGACTCTGGTATGGGGATGTTTTTACTCAGGATAAGGTAGTCATTAACGTCATCGCCCGTCGCACCAGAAGGAAAGGTGCTATGCATTGCAAAACTCACCGCAATCGGCCAGTTCGTACACCGGGTACTGCAACAAGCGCTTTGCAGCAAGCCTCTTGCTTGATCTTGTTCTTGATCATAGATCATATAAATTGATATAACTGCTACGCACGACTACATCGACATATTATAGAAGCAGGCTGCAGCAAGACCAAGAGCAAGCAACTTCTCAGTAGCAATTGATACATAAGTATACCGCAACCTATAGCATGATACGGCGGGCACCTGAGGCAACTTTTGCAATGCATAAATATTGAAGATCGGCGTTCCAAGGGGGTCGTCCAACTTCTGATCTTTCAAGAAGTCCAACAGGTCAGTGTCGTATCGAGTGCAAATACGTCCGGGTCTGGAAAGATGAAGATACGTTGCAAAACTTTACTGAATGATTGTCATCTATTATATACGCACCCAAGAAGCTGCATGACGATGACCACGAAAATTATTGTTTATCAATTTCTAGCTGCTACGTAGTTTATTATCCGCATGGCAATATTAAACTGTACTGCGTCTTCTACTATTTTGCATGAGCAGAGGCTCGACGCGCAAGAGGATCTTTCCCAGCCTCCGCATCACAGAGAACGAACAAGACTCGAGCAATGTCAAGCAAGCCTGATTTTGTTGCTAAATCTTCTTCGATGCAATACTTACTAGTCTTCATCCAGACGACCCAGGAGACGTATGCGCCATGCACATCTTGACCGCGGAAGAATTTTCAAGCGAAGACTTGGTCCTCGTCGTGTCAGTGTCCTCGAACTCGGCATAGGCGTGCTGGAGAAGGTAGTACTTCTCCTCCTGACTGTCGGCTCCTCCTGGCGCATACAAACCTCCGGTGGGGAATTCCCAACTGCGAAACACGTTGAGTATGGCGCTCTCAAACGTTAGTACATTCTCAACTGTTACATGAATTCGTGACGCAAGAATGGCAAACGCGAAAGGGGAGACCTAGCGCGTCTCGCATGACAGATTTGGCGCAGATTCTCAGCCTGTTTGGCTCTTCGAGAATTTCTCATGCGAAGCAGCTTGATCATGTAGATACTGATGGCATTTTCGCAGTACAAATCGTGTTGTAACTACAGTTGAGAATGTAACATTTGAGAGTCCCATATTGAAGTGGAGGCAGTTGTGGGCTTTATCTCCGGCTGTGTACGAAGCGCACATAGCGGCCACTGCGTGAAGGTGCGTGGTCTCCAGGGCTTTGATCGCGTCCGCGATTTTCGCCACGACCCCAGGGACCATGACAGTGTCGCCCGTGCCGTTCGTAGTGAATTGCTTCATCAGCGCCGTTCTATTGAACTTAAGCAGGCGCACGTTCACTTGCACGTGCGTCTTTTTCGGATCTGTTTCGTAATCCTTCCAGAGAGGCTGAGACTGGTCCGGCATCCTGTCCCCGAGAGCGATNGCGCACGTTCACTTGCACGTGCGTCTTTTTCGGATCTGTTTCGTAATCCTTCCAGAGAGGCTGAGACTGGTCCGGCATCCTGTCCCCGAGAGCGATAGCGGGCGCCAAACTTGCCCCCACGGTGGCTCGCGTTCGAAAGTCGTCGTCCTTCTGTATGGCAAGCCCAAGCGCTTTTACACTCTCGACTGTTGCATGAACTTGCGATGCGAGAAAAGAAAAGCTAGTGGTGAAAGGGGGGGACTTTGACCGCCACGACCTTGCGCGTCTTGCATTACAGATTTCGCACGGATCCTAATCAATGGTATTTAGCGCGGTGAGGACCACTTGTCATGCGAAGAGGCTTGAGCGCGTGAAGCGCAGCGACGTGATAGTGATTCTGCGTGTTGACAAATCATGTTGCAACAAGTGAGAGCGCGGCGTTTATTTAGAATTCCATATTCTGCTGGTAAGACTGCCCCAAGGTGACAAAGTAGCCAGTCAAGGGATTTGGTGTGTCTTCGACGTTCACGTTCAGATTCCAGTCGCCGTGCAAGATCGACTGGTCGTTATCGATATACTGCTGGCGAGCGGTGTCTTTCACGGCGGTCGTGAGTGCCTTGTACTCCTCGGAGTTAACCAGCTTCTGCCACGAAGCAAGGTCCGGATAGACTTCCTCGGTGGCAAGCACTTTTGGTTGAACGCCAGCAGTAAAGTTGCCGTACAACAGGTTGAAACGCTCGCAGTTGACGTTCGCAACTAGGCAGGTTTTCTGCTTCAGGTTAACAAACAACGGGTGCAACGCATCAACTACTGCTTTCGCCTGGTCAGCGGTGACGCTATCCTTCATGACTATCTTCGTAGTCGTATCATATGTAAAAACGCGCCCGCCCCATAGTCAAGTTGGGAAATCTGCAAGACAAAGCAGCAAACTTAGGCTTTGGCTGTTGCGCATGAGCATGACATAAACAGACTGTTCTACTGCGGGTGAGACATTGTGTATCAGGCTGTTGCGCATGACAAGTTTGGGCTCGGAATGTAATCGCGTTCAGCTAGTAGAGCTAGTGCAGCAGCATCACAAATCCAATATCTCATGCTCATTGTACCATCAGAAATTATTTCAAACAGAGCTACTAGACAATGCGTCTCATGGGGCTCCGCATGGAAGAGATTTCCATCATGCAAATGTGCGTTACGTTTTTACACAGGATAGGTTGCGCTGAAGAGCCCCGGTAGATCCCGCAGACCGAACTGCTGGTAACTGTCGTACGTTGGTTGCGCCTGTAGTACGGGGGTTCCCGCGCTGACAACTCCCCCGACAATCTGCTGCCCATGCTCTACGTCAGCCCCTGGAGCCGTGTACAGGACGGTATCTTTGATTGTATTGAGGTACTGCTGCAATTTCTCGGCTGCTGGGGCCGGATCACTAGTGCCTGCTTTGTTGAAATACTCGTCCTTCAGAGCTGCGGCAGTCTTCGCCGCGACTTGCAGAATGTAAGTGGTAATCTTGGGAGTGCCTTGTGATGTGGGAGTCTTATTGTCCACCTTGAAAACGTCAGTGTACAGGCAATCAGAAACGCTGTCACAGAGCGCGATCATGTC